CCACTTCTCTCGACCTTCCACCAATTTCTAATCTCTTTTATACCCCCAAAATTTCGCATTTCTCTCCACTACCCACTTCCTATTTCTCTAAGATTCCTTCTCCAATCCATTCAATTTGAGGCATTTCTGGGCTCTGAGGGGAGAAAAGGATGAGACTTGGGATATGGGTTTTTTCTATTTTGCTCTTTTCTGCTCTTATTGCAGAGATTGAGGCCCAGGAGATCGAGAGGAGGCATCGGACTGAGAGAATCTCAGGTGGGTTTTAGTAATTTTTGCTTGAATTTGTTAATTGAGTTCTAGATTTGAATTGTTACTGTTTTTTTGCTTGAGCCAGAATGGGCAACCTGTGATTGAGAATTGGTGCCCATCTACCCGCTCACCCACCTACCCGCTTACCCAACCACCCACCATCACCAGAAAGAAGACATCTTTTAAAGCTAGTGATAAAGAAAGCCTTTTGGGCCCGTAGACAGCTTTTACTTCTGTGTTGCTTAATGATTGGCTGCTTGATTGTGTGAAGGAAACAATTTGCTAATCGGTTTGGTGACCATAGCTTTAAAGTTTCATGGTTTTTGAAATTGATGGACAGTTAATTTGATTTTGTGTGCTGATGAGATTTCTTATTCCGGCTAGTACATTATTGGTAAACAAGGTCTCTAAGTACTTAAAAAATAGAGATTATGCGATGGTATGCAATTTTGCTCATATATTATTACATTTCAAGGCGGTATCCATGCATGTTTTTCTAATTGGCTGAGTGATCTCTCATTGCCGGTGTCAGGCTGCGGACTATGTTTAGTAAGCTCATGATTCGAGTCGCTAGTTTGCCCACTTTCCTCATCACATTACTATCCAATTAACTGTTTGTCTTTTGCCCATATGTATTATTATTTTACCTTTGTAATATATTTTGAACTATGCAATGCTTCTGTTAAGATATTTTTCTATTCCTACATAATCTGAATTTCTTGATCATTATGCTAGTTTTTAAGTGGTCTTTTTTGAAAAATCAGTTGTTATGGCACTTCTCATCTTCATTAAATGGCTTAAGTGGGCATAATTATGGAATACATTTCTACTAACTGAGCTCCACTTATCACTTGATAGCTGTAGGAATGAACAATTTGGATCAAAATCCTTCACTTGATAGCTGTAGGAATGAACAATTTGGATCAAAATCCTTTCGGTAGGTCTTACTACTTTTTATAATAATAAAAAGTTCACATCTACGAAAGGATGTAATTTTCCTATGAGCTATGAAGTCTAATCATGCTGTATATATGCTATTTTCAGTTAAACCGAATATTCTCTTTGCCCTTTGGGCTTACCATCTAATGTCATGTCAGGGAGATGGAGATCCGTTCATGACCACGTGAAGTTCGAAAATTTACTTTGGAAATATCGTCATATGCTTGTGTTGATGTGATATGTATGTATTGTCCACTAGCTTTTCATGCGATCAATGCAAGCAAGTGGTTGGACAACTGATACTTTACGCTGAGGGCTGTGGGTGGTAGGAAAAAATGTAATGTACTTCGAGGGTAGCATATTAAAAATGAGGATATTCTAGATCAAGGTTTAACACTATCTTATTTCTTACAATTGGTGAGGGATGGGAGACCCATTTTCAATTTTAGGTTAATGATTTTCTCATTTGTGGTTGAATAGACATTACCAACATTTTGATAGATGTCAGATATTTCTTCACAGTTATACAATGAAATCAGTTTGGTGATTGTAGAGTGGAACATAAAAATTGCATTATAATGCATCCACAAGCGTGCCACATCCTTCTTATAAGTCAAGTATTTGTTCAATATCTCTGGAAAATAAGTGCTAATGGTCTTGGTCCAACCCTATTAGATAAGAAGAACCGCTTGAGAGAAAGTTTATAGGAGCCAAGTTTGTCATCTATATTACAGATAAGGAATCCAAAATATTAGTTTACTTTAAACTCAAATATGAAAGGTGTCTTCATGAGAATTGGACATTAGTATCTACCTTTATTTTGATGAAATGATCGTTATTGTACTTCCATTGTTTTAGGTACTTAGTGGTCCTTTTCACATAATAAATGATGCTCTTCTGTGGTTTGTGTCGTCTTTGAATTAGCATGTTTCTTCATCCGGAAATACTGATCCTTGCAATCTGATAAGGGTAACTTTTAAAGTTTGAATAACTTTGCTTGTTAAAGACTATATACTACACAAGTTTATGACAACATTCCTTGTGGTGTATCTTGGGCTACTTTGAACCAAACATGTATTTTCTTCACCACATCTTGTGTTAGTCAAGCAGATGGGTAGATTCCACTTTTGTTTTGCAGATCAATATGAAACTGACCTTGGTGGGTTTGAGCAATAGACTCTTGTGCTGTTGCTTTGCTCCTTCGGAGTATGGGCAGCTTGACGTTATCTGTTTATACTCTGATAGCTCTTTTTCTTTTTGGAATTTGTGCTTGCAGGACATGGATTCCTCTAGGTTTCCTTCTCTTTGTCGAAGTCTAGTGTTATCACATCTTCTTTAGTTGCAATAGAAATTTATAAATATATATTTGCTTAAAGTTTATACTTGGTGGAATTTTCTGTTAGTTTATGGTCTAATTTGTTGAATGTTTTCCTGATTTGAACAATTATTTCATGGACGTTAAAGATAGAATAAGTATGGATACTTCATACTATATTAGCAGCCTAACCTTACAAATTTTCTACATGTAGGAACTCTCATTAATTATTATTTGAAAATTTTTCTTGATGTTTCCATCACCTACACTTACCCTTCAATTTCATTTGTTTTTTATTTGCACTCTTATAACTTCACATGTTGAATGTACTTATGGTCTAACTGTCTGAATCTTCAAAATCCTAGGGAGTGCTGGTGATGTTCTTGAAGATGATCCAGTTGGAAGGTTGAAAGTATTTGTTTATGAGTTGCCTAGCAAATACAACAAGAAGATTCTTCAGAAGGACCAAAGATGCCTCAACCATATGTTTGCTGCTGAGATTTTCATGCACCGTTTCTTGTTATCAAGCCCTGTACGGACCCTCAACCCTGAAGAGGCTGATTGGTTCTACACACCAGTCTACACTACTTGTGACCTAACTCCAAATGGACTCCCTTTACCTTTCAAATCACCAAGAATGATGAGAAGTGCCATACAATTGATCTCCTCTAATTGGCCTTATTGGAATAGAACTGAAGGGGCTGACCACTTTTTTGTTGTTCCTCATGATTTTGGGGCATGCTTCCATTATCAGGTAAGGAAGCAAGTTTCCTTCATTGTCCACCAGTTTATTTGCAGCTGTGATATCTGTGTACCATCTTGTTTGCTTCTAAGTATTTAATTTATTTAGATGTCAGTTGTATGGTGCTTCATGCTGAAATTGGGGATTTAATTATTATGAAGCACCAATTTTTTACACTTGAGCTAACTCCATCCTAAAACAAACTTTAATTACTTATAGAAATGGTGGAAGAGATTGAATATAGATAGAAACGAGTATAAATATTGATGAAACAGATACACTCAAAAAGTTTACATACAACGTTATAGATTCCAACAAGACTAAGTGTGGCATATGCAAGACACAGAAAAGAGGCAGGCCGAAGAGTGATGAACACTCGGCAACTTATAAGCTCATCATTTTCTATTATCTTTATCAACTGTTAAGATTTTGATATTGTCTAATGTTATTTTTTAATCTAGTTCTTCAGTTTATATCATACTTGTGCAACTCTTTTCAGTTGGTATTAAATTTTTTTATGTAAAACGGAATTTTAATGTGTTTGAACCATTGATCTTCCTTTTGTTGACGTTTCTTTACAATTAAACCAAAATTTACTTGATTAATACTGAATATTTATACATTTTACAGGAAGAAAAAGCAATTGAACGGGGGATTCTTCACTTGCTTTCACGTGCTACGCTGGTTCAAACATTTGGGCAAAGAAATCATGTTTGCTTGAAGGATGGTTCCATAACTATTCCTCCATATGCTCCTCCACAGAAGATGCAGGCCCACTTGATTCCACCTGACACGCCTCGATCCATTTTTGTATACTTCAGGGGTTTGTTTTATGATGTTGGAAATGATCCTGAGGGCGGTTATTATGCAAGGTATAACTTTTAAAATCTTCTTGGAACTGACTTGTATTATTCTCGAAGAAATTATTTAGTCACTTTGGCCTGGTGAACTTCTATTAGAGATTACATGATATGCAGTCTGAATCTTTTTGTACAATAGGAAGCTTTGAAAACCTTTTAAAATATACTAACCATGAAAATTTAGCCTTTGGAAGTCAACAATTTTCTGCATAAGATAACCGAAATCCCGTGAACGCAAACTTTACACCCCTCTAGATGTGTGATTTGCTTTTAGATCCTATGAACATTCTAAATGTGAATTTACATTGATATTTTACTTTCAAAATTTTATGCCCTCTTGACTTGTTATCAAAATCCTTATTTTGTTAACATTGCTTGTAGTAACTGAAGTTTGTTATATTGACCAAACATTTTCAGTGAGATCATTAATTCACCCAATAAATGCTTTTGTTGTATATTAGTTCTTCTAACATAATTTGTGCACATATATTGATTGAAATAATTTCAATGAGCAAACTACCTTATTGCAGTAGTTAGAGAATTTAGATGTTGGAATCACTTAAACGATCATATGGAATTTGTTTCCAGGGTTATTAGTCTACATATGTATCTCTCTGGATATGCACCTGTTCTTACTATTAAAAAAGAAAAAAAAGAAAAAAAGATCAGACATGCAGTAGTTAATAAAAGAATACATCTACAATCTTATTAGAAAAATGCCTTAAGGACCCAAAATATGGGACCAAGGGAGGGGACAGGTGAGATGTCCCCTCTCTATTGCATAATGAGCTGGTCATGCCAGCTCATTATGCAATAGACCAGCTCATTATGCAATAGACCAGCTCATTATGCAATAGGAGGGGGACATCTCACGTGTCCCCTCCAATAGTTCCATATTTTGGGTCCCTGTAGCAGAGCTCATCTTATTATATTTCATCTGAACGTTTCCCTTGTATTTTCCTAAATTCTTTACAGAGGTGCTCGGGCGTCTGTATGGGAAAACTTCAAGGACAACCCTCTCTTTGACATCTCCACCGAGCATCCGACCACATACTACGAAGACATGCAACGGGCAATCTTCTGTCTGTGTCCATTGGGGTGGGCCCCATGGAGCCCACGTTTAGTGGAAGCAGTGGTCTTCGGCTGCATCCCTGTAATCATAGCCGATGACATTGTGCTCCCTTTTGCCGATGCAATCCCTTGGGAGGATATTGGTGTTTTTGTAGCTGAAAAGGATGTCCCTAACTTGGATACGATCTTGACTTCGATATCCCCAGATGTTATACTAAGGAAACAGAGGTTGCTGGCAAATCCTTCAATGAAGCAAGCTATGTTGTTTCCTCAGCCAGCTCAATCGGGAGATGCGTTTCATCAGGTTTTGAATGGGCTTGCTCGAAAACTTCCTCATGATGAAAGCTTATATTTGAAGCCAGGGGAGAAGTTACTGAATTGGACTGCGGGCCCGGTTGGTGATCTTAAACCTTGGTAGTTGAATGAATTTGAGTGTGTTATAGATGCATGAATGATGTTAAGTTTAAAGGTGCAATTTGGATGTTTAGTTACTGAATTTTTTGTAGCAGTAGAAACTTGATGTATGTTTAGACTTTGTCATGTGATGGGATTATATACATTGCAATTAATGGTTAGATTTCAATATTTGCGTTCGTGTATATTCTTATCAGCATGGCTGAGTATGTTTATGTTGGGGATTCGAAATAATCAAATCAAATCCGTACCCTTCCGGATCTTGTGTTTGAGAGTTGAGCAAGAAAGAAATTCACCACAAATTAAAGATAAAAACTTATAGGAAAGTAAACAAGAAAAAACACCCCAGATTTAACGAGGTTCGGGAATGTGCCTACGTCCTCGGGAGCCACGCCACACAATTCTTTGATTAATTGAAGAATATTACAATGCTTCCAATTGGCCTCTCTCTAAGATTTTTGATCTCAAAGAGCCCTCAAAACCCTCTTTTTTTCGTGTTCTTTTCTCTCCTAAACCCTAGAGTGATGTGTTTCTATTTATAACAAAACAAAATCCCAAATAGATTAGGATTCTAAAACGAGTCTGTCACACCCGGGTGTGGCGCACACCACACCCATGACAAACAGGACAGATTCTGCCACACCAGGGTGTAGCAGACACCACACCCATGACAAACAGGGCAGATTCTGCCACACCCTGCCACATGGGTGTGGCAGACACCACACCAGGATGTGGTGGAGTCTATCTTGCTTATTTTTCACGTGTTTGTTGATTTTGATTCTAGGTTTGGGTCTCCACTCTCAAGACCAACAATCTTCCACTTGGAGACTAAACCACCATCAATGAGCTTGCCCGAACTCCGCTTTCTTCGAAAACATCTTCTCCTACTTGGAAAAATCCATTCTTCAATGGTCATCAACCCGACGATCCCGACGATCCTCTTAGTGTGGCTCCGCCTTCATCTCCTCACATGAAGGCCCATTCTTCAATCATCATCACCCCGACGATCCCGACGATCCTCTTAGTGTGGCTCCGCCTTCATCTCCTCACATGAAGGCCATCTGAAGTTGCGCACAACTCTAGTTTCTCTATGGTGACTGCCTTCGTCAATATGTTCGCCAAATTTTGACTCCCCAAAATCTTCTCTAAATATAACTTCCCGTCCTCGATCAGCGAGCGTATGAAATGGTATATTACGTCAATGTGCTTCGTTCTAGCATGATAAACTGGATTCTTGGCAAGGTGTATAGCGTTCTGGCTATCACAATAAAGAACTCCTCTCCCTTGCTTCAGATCCAACTCTTCCAAACATCCACCCAACCAAATCATCTTCTTGCTTGCTTCAGTCACCGCGACATACTCAGCCTCGGTTGTAGATAAAGTTATAATCTTCTGCAGACGTGAGACCCAGCTCACTGCTGTCGACGCTAAAGTATAAACATACCACGTAGTGCTCCGCCTCGTATCATGATCACCGGCGAAGTCCGCATCCACGTATCCCTGCAGCACCAACTCTTTCCTCCTGAAACATAGTGGCTTATTCGTTGTATCTCTCAGGTACCTCAATATCCACTTCATGGCCTCCCAATGTTGCTTCCCTGGATTGCTTGCAAACCTGCTCACAACTCCCACTGCATGGGCAATGTCCGGCCTCGTGCAAACCATCGCGTACATGAGACTCCCAATGGCTGAAGAACATGACACCCTGCTCATATGCTCTCTCTCTCTCTGCGTCTATCTTAGGCGATTGCTCCTCAGATAACTTGAACTGGCTTCCAAGTGGTGTGCTAACAACCTTAGCATTCTGCATATTGAACCTCTGAAGTACCTTCTCAATATATTCAGCTTGGTTCAACCCCAATGTCCCTTCAGCTTCATCCCTACTGATTCGCATCCCTAGAATCTGTTTCGCTGCACTCAGATCCTTCATTGCAAACTCCTTTGCTAGCTGCTTCTTCAAACTGTTTATCTTCTCTAAACACGGTCCTGCTACTAACATGTCATCAATATATAATAACAATATAATAAAACTGGATTCAAACCTCTTGAAATAGCAGCAATGATCCGAATTGCATCTTCCATAGCCATTATTTTGCATGAAGTTATCAAACTTCTTGTACCACTGTCTCGGAGCCTGTTTCAAACCATATAATCTCTTCTTGAGCTTGCACACCATATCTTTCTTTCCTTATTTAATGAAGCCAACATGCTACTTTATATAGATTTCTTCATCCAAATCACTATGAAGAAAGGCAGACTTCACATCTAACTACTCAAGGAAGAGGTCTTCTACAGCTACCAAGCTCAACACCACTCTGATGGTGTATGTTGGAAAAATTGCAATGAAAAGAACAAAAGAAAATTGACTTGTATTTCTTTGATTCCGATTACAATTCGATTACAAAAGAGAAGAGAACGAATTTGGTTCTCTCCTTTGTTTAAAACTGGGTTCTTCAAGGTAGCGATGGAGTGCCTCCTTCGATTGTTCGCGTCGAATTTGCTCTCCGTTGACGATCCGACCGTCTTTTATTTCATGGGAACGATGAACTTTTGTGGAAAGTTTGATAGGTAACTCTGAATGAGTTTAAGAACTCTGAACGAGTTAGAACTCTGTTAATAGAGTTGTTAGAACCGAAAATTCGGTTAATGATCAAGCTGATATTCTGTTGTTGAAGAATCCTCTCAGATTTGATCTTCTGAATTTGATGCAAGACTCCTATCTCCAAGGATTTTACTGCTGCTGCTGTTGAATCACCAAACCTGAGTGGTTGAGATCCTGAAAACTCCAAGGATTTTACTGCTGCTGCTGTTGAATCACCAAACCTGAGTGGTTGAGATCCTGAAAATCCAACATGCTGCCAACTCTTCCGTTCCCAAAAAGCCAGCCCCTAACTCAGTTGAGTTTGTTGAGTTTTTATAGGTGGATAAGAGGTTGTAATTGCCCTCTAAATCCGCTCCTAAGTGGGCGTGATTTCCTCAGATCGTGGGGAAACAGTTCTGAAACCGTTTGGCTCGTATTTGAACGAGTCAAACGCCCAATCTGGCGTTCAAAACCCAACGTCGCCTCTTAGAATTGAGACGCGGGGTTGGGTGTAGGCTGAACATCATTGAGCGCGAGGGTCGCTCGCGTTTTGGTTTGTTGTAGTTTGGGAACGCGGGGGTCGGTGTTAGTTGAACCCCTACGAACGCGAGGGTCGCGCACGTTTAGCTTGTGCTTGGAAACGCGGGGGTCGCCTGCACTTCCAGAATTATAACGCGGGGATGACATCCGCGTTTTAAAAGGGGTTAGTTGATCTGTAACCTCTTCTACAGAGCGTTGTAAGGATCGTTGTTCAGTAATCCTAGCTTTAGCTGTTGTGAAGTGTGAAAGTCGTCAGATTGTAACCTTCACTGTAGATTATGAAGACTGCTGAATAGAGTTTTCATCAGTTATCGGAAGTGTCGTTGAATTGTAACTCTTCTCGATCTATGTGAAAAGTCCTCCATTTGCAGCTTTCGATTGTCGTCGCGAAAGCTATTTGATTGTAGCTTTCGTTGTTGGAACTTGACGGGAATCAACATCCATAGTGTTTTTAGATGAATATTTGCCCACATCTCTCTACCAAGGAACTCACCAACTACATCCAACCTTTTATTTCTGAAATCATTACACTGCTCATCAGCATCTCTAATAGTTGCCAATATTAGTCGTGCTATTGTCGCAGCCATCAAGATCAATCATCTCAAAAATAAGGCCGTGTTTGTAGCAGTTGCAGAATTGCAGATATAGCGAGTAGGAAGTCGTTTGATTGTAACTTCTATCTTCGGGTCTTGATGAGGATCAGCTATCTATTGTGATTTTTAGACAGCCTACAGAACCCCCTCCAAAGTTTTCGAAAGTTCGCGGTTGACTGGGACGAATTTTCGGAATACTTTGGATCCCAAAATTTAGTAGATTAATTGTTCGCTCTGTCTGATCGAGCCAGATGATTCTAATGTCGTTGACTGTAATCTATCTGTGTTTCTCCAATAGACTCCCCAACGGAGTCGCCTGTTTCTCCCTGGCTTTGGTCACCTTGATGATTGTGGTAGCCTTGGTAGTCAAGAAGTTGCTATTATAGCCGTCCAAACAACTTCTGCATTTAGGAATTGTAACGCGTGGGTGAACTCAGCGTTTTGGAATTTCAACCAACCCAAAACGCGAGGGTCGAGTTTTAGGCGGGATTCTGGCCTCGAATCCCGTCCGTTGTGATTTGACAGCTCACAGCTGTCTATAAATAGACCGCTGGAGGTCAGATCAAGAGTCACCCGACTCTTCTTGAAATTCCAACGAAAAATTTTCGTTCTCTCCGGCGAAAACTGTAACGAGGAGACTCGTTTCAATAACGCGGGGCTGGACTCCGTCGTTTAATCTTTTTGACGAGGGGTTCGACCTCCGCGTCTCAGATTCTTAACGCGAGGGTCAACCTACGCGTCTGAACTCTCTGACGTGAGGCTCGACCTTCGCGTTTGAGATTTTTGACGCTAGGTTTGACATTCGCGTCCTAGCTTATCTGACGCGGGAGTCGACCTTCGCGTCTGGGATTTATATTTGCCTTGTCTAAATTTTTCTAAATTTTTCTTTATTTTGCAGTGCGTCATACCAGTCAACCTCTTCCTTTTCGCCACCATTTTGGACATGAAGGTGGTGTGGATATGAACATGACATTCAACCTACGCCAAGAACTCCCCGTTTTCCGAATCAAGGAAAAGAATCGCGTGGAACTGATCACCCAAGCTTCTCCCGAGACCCTTAGAATATTGGTCATGGACGCTCGACTTGAAAACTGGAGCTGTAAGCCAATAGTCAAATCTGGATTCCTCTTCGGGGATTTTGTTGATTTCGAGGCGGATAATGCTTACGATGGGGACTACAAGTGGTTACGGAAAGTTGGGGACCGTAACCTTTTCTTGCCTAATATGAAGAGGATGTACCCACTTTCTTATTTCCAGTGTGCTTCTATTCCACGTCGTATGGATTGGCCCCTGGTTAAGGATCAGGATGGGGTTATTCTCGGAACTCTGACTTTTCACGGGGTCCGCACACTCGGTTACAACAGGCAGGTGACAGCTTTGCGGCCGAGTTTATTTGCTAAGGAGTATCCCCTTGGCGAGGTGGCCAGCCCGGCAAATACCTTTGTCAAGAGGTTTGTGGCGAAGAAAGGAGAATTTCCCGCGCAAGGATTTAGAACTCCTGGCTGGGTTCATTCTCCAGTGACAGGGTGGTGGACCCGGATGACCAAGTTCGTTTTAGATGAATTGGAGACCCCTCTTGCCCGAGCTGGAATGCAGATTCCCATGCTGGCTACTAAGTTCAGGATTGTTCAGAGCCACTTTCATTTCTTCTTCATATTGGAGAAGTTTAACCCCGAGACTTGTACTTTCTTCACCCCCGTGGGGGAGTTAGGTTTCGCTCTTCACGAGATGCATGAAGTCTCGGGTCTTATTCTTGGGGATCTGCCGTACGAAGAGTTTGTTCCGGGATCAGCGGAACTTAAAATTTTGAAGAAGACCAACCCCGAAATATACTCCACTCTTTGGGAAGTCATGTGTCACTTCCACATTTGCATGCAGCTGACGGGGGCTCGAGGAAGCGGCATTAAACAAGTATCTTGGACGGAATATTTATTCCAGAATTTGACCAATAAAGTAGCCTCAGTGACCAGACTATCTGCAAGCACTTTGGAGGAAGTTCAAGCCCGAATCGATAATGCTACCTCCCACTACACAAATGAGGCCAAGGAAGATGTTTTCCCGGCTCATACAGAGTTTGAAAGCTTCCACTATCAGGCTCTGATTCCAATTTTCGACACAGCGCTGTTGGCTGGGTTCTTGATGCTGTGGCTCAAGCGTTGCGTCGTTCCTACTAGGCCGGTCGACGCCCTCGCTGTTGAGGTGATCTACCCGGCTGTCCTTTTGGCCCATGGGAAACCTGTGAGCCTCCTTCATGCCATGGTGAGTTGTTTGCAGCTTCGTGGATGTTACAGAGGTGGAGTCTGGGGGTCACAAGACTTTCAAAACTCCCAACCCCAGGGTGCCACTGCCATACACCTATCTGATGGCTTGGTACGTGCTCCACTGTCCTCCTTTGATGAGTGCAGCCTCTCCCCCGGAAGATACATTCATCACATTCGTGCAACGACTAGAATCTGCGAAATGGGAAGGGGGATATATGGTTAGAATTCGCCAAATTTTGGGCGAGACACCCACTTCCATATCTTCCGCTGTTTCCCTGATTTTGAGGGCGGCGTTTACGGAGCCGAATATCAGGACGTAGCGGGTTCTAATGGATTCACTCAGCTGAGCGGGGGTGTTTTCCACTGGCTTCTCTCCATCAGGCCAGGCTACTTGATCTTCCGGCAAGGCGTCAACTGTTTCATCGAGCCCTACCAACCCTATAGGTTTGCTCGTCAATTTGGGTATGATCAGCTATACGTCGGGAACCCTCGTCCTCAACTCTCAATTATAGGCAATTTATATGAAGGAGCCAGGGTTTGGTACTATTCTGTAGCAGGTTGTACCAGAGCCATCTTCCGGCTTCCCCATAAAACTCCTAACTCCTACACTTCCATAAGCTTCTGTAATTGGTATTTCGCCGCTTCTCAGACTCCCAATTACAACCTGAATACATCTTGCCTAAAAGACATTAGGCATATGTATGCTTTAAGAAAGGGGTCCAAGACGTCCCGCTTGAGAGGGATTGATAAGTTTCTATCCATTGAGAACCAGCCTGCTGGGCAGGAAGAGGAATAGACAGCTGAGCATGCTCCAGGAGAAGAGCAACGAGTGGTTGATCCTCCCATGACCAGAGCAGCTGGGAAGAGAAAACTCTCAGCGGATGAAGCCAGCAAATACGATAAACAGATTCGTCAGAAGTTGCTGGTTGATTCCCCTCCTCCCAAAGGCCAACGAAAATCTAAGTTGATGGCTGATGCCATCAAAGCTACTGAAGATGAAGAGCAACAGGAATCTTCTGTTGCGGGCCTGCCACGTAAAACTGGGCTTCGTTCTCATGGCCCAACCTTATCGAGTGATGCTTCTTCTTACCATCCCCCCAAGATGAAGAGGCTGAGTTAATGGCTGCAGATGCAGAATCTGCTCCGGTGATGGACCTTCCGAAGTCTCCTGCATTAGAACCAGGGGGTCTCGAAGAGAATCCATCCCCTTCTCCTTCAGCCTTAATGTCACAAGCTCATGATTCAATTCCTAGTCCTACAACGGGACTTATGAGTAAACCAGCTGCGGGCACAGATCTTCCGGAACCTTCAGCTGCTCAGGATGATGAGGAGCGAGTTGATTATGACGGCTCCTCAACTGGTGATGCAGCTGACGAAGATAGAGATGATGAGGATGCTGAAATTGGCAACGTGCCAGGTGACGATGAAGGTGATGATGGACATGATTCCATGGATGACATCACTACTTTCGATGATGCTCCCAAGGCTCCATCTAATAAAGCATCTGATTATACTCCTTTTTATCTCACCGGTAAGCCGGATTTGTTTCAAATTCTTCCACATGCTTTTTTCGCGTTCCGACCCTTTTTTTGTGCAGGTTCGCCTCCTTCCAAGACTACTGCTGCTACTACCTCAAAGCAGGATCCAGCACAAGTATTGGCTCCTCCCCAGGAGCAACATTTACCCGGATCACCTACGGCAACTGCTTCACCTGTAGCATTGCCTGAAACTATTGACGCAACCCCTTCTCTAGAACAACAGCTCGTACCGGTGTCAACTCCCGCGCAAGAGCAGCCTCTGCCTGCTTCGTCTTCGGCAGCTGCCTCACCTGCCGCGTTGATGAAGATCTCACTTACACCAACAGAGGCGAGTCCCAGCACATCTCAGGCAAGGGCAATGATGGCTTTGACCTCGAGCCCATCACAATTGAATGTTTCTACCGCCTCTGCAGCTTCAGCGCCTGGCTCCCCTGCACCAATTTCAATGGCTCTGGGAGCATCTTCAAGTCTCGCGGGTGCACCTGAGTTCCTTCAAATCTCTTTGGTGTACTTGAATAGCCTTGCAAAGAAGGTGATTGAATATGTGGTAGGTGGTCAGGGCACTTTTAATTCTTTTCGACATCTTCTAGAAGCAAACTTAAACGGAGTCAGAAGTGTGGGAAACACTCCGTGGTTTGAACGCTGTTCTGAGATTATTCTTCATTTGGAAGAACAATTGCAGCATTTTGAGGCCCTGGGGCGCAGAGAGCTTCAGTCCGAGATCGTGTCCACTTTGGCCAGTCTTCAGGTTGCAGAAGTGGCTCGCCGGGAGGCGATAGAACGGGACTTGGCTGAAAGAGAGCGTCAAATCACGGAGCTTCGCGAGCGTAATATTCAGAAACGAGAAGAGTTAGAACGCTCGACTACTTCCATGAACTCGCTTCGTGATAGACTTGTCGAAGCTGAGGCTGAAGTTCTGCGGTTAAAGGCTGAATTTGCCCGCGAAGAAAATGTTATCAATATCCTTAGCACCCAAAACGCTACGGGTACTCTTGAATATCACACGCAGGCTCGAGCTTTGGAACAAGCCAGGAATGAAGCGGCAGCTATCATCATTCCCAGTGAGGAAGAGCTCCGGGCAAGGGCTGAAGCTATGGTGCGCACCACTCACGAAGAGGAGCTAAACAAAGTTAGGGTCCAACTCACGTCTTTTGATTTGATGCGTGAATGAAATTTATTCTTGTAATGTTCTTTTGATAAGAACAAGTTTGTTTTGTATCACTTTCTTTTGGTTATTGAATAAAAAGTGATATTAACTTCTCATTGTTTCTTGCATTTATCACGTTCTGATTTTAAGTAACAAATCATGAAAAATGCTTGAGACGTATTCCTGACTTAGAATAGATCTCCACAATGATTCTGATGCAGAAAACTCTCTTTTATTATCGTTTAAGATAACTCCAGAAAATTTTAAACTGCTAAGGATTGGTATTTTTCCGTAATGGGGCTGACTGATAGAATTCTTCCTGTGTCATTTCTGCTTTGAACACTGAAAGAAGTCTATAGGTGCTAGAAGTAGCTTTTTAAGTTGGCAGGGGGGAATATTGCGATCAGGGCAATTTTGAGGACTTATCGTTCTGTTGATGAGAATCGATAAGTTGATTTTGTCAGAGGTGTGATATTAACGTGACAGAAGAAATATTACAACCAGGGCAATTTTGAGGACTTATCGTTCTATTGATAAGAATCGATAAGTTGATTTTGTCAGAGGTGTGATTTTAACGTGACATCTAAAATATTACGATCGGAGCAATTTTGAGGACTTATCGTTCTATTGATGAGAATCGATAAGTTAATTTTGTCAGAGGTGTGATATTAACGTGACAGAAGAAATATTGCAATCGGGGCAATTTTGAGGACTTATCATTCTATTGATAAGAATCGATAAGTTGATTTTGTCAGAGGTGTGATTTTAACGTGACATCTGAAATATTACGATCGGAGCAATTTTGAGAACTTATCGTTCTATTGATGAGAATCAATAAGTTGATTTTGTCAGAGGTGTGATTTTAACGTGACATCTGTGAGGAAAAAATATTGTAGCGTCTCACTTGGAGGAGAACTGCTAAGTGTCTTATCATCAGGGCGACAAATTGTATCACTTGTGATTTGAACAAGATTTGGAAGACTTTATCATCTCACCGAAAAGAATTAGGTAAATTGGTTATTTGATATTCTGCTGAAGAGAGTTGATCAATTAACCAGGATTTGGATGATTTTGGAGATTTATCGTTCTATTGATGGATTTGGATGATTTTGGAGATTTATCGTTCTATTGATGAGAATCGATAAATGGACCTTCGCAGAGGAATCGTAGTCATATTGGTAGTGATAATAACTAAATTCAATATCTGCTAAGGTGATGACTATCTGAGGTGTAATATTAACCTGATGAGTTAAGGAGATACAGAGTTTGAAAAGCACCCTGTTGAAAGAATCCCTGAGCTTAGAGGATAAGTATCAAGGGTATATTCTTCATTTGGAAAAGTTGCAACGCTAAGGTGACTCTTGCGTTTGAGGTACGAAATGCGAGGCTAAGAACCTCCATAACGCTAGTCTGAGTCTAGCGTTTGAACGCGGGTGTGAACTTCGCGTTGAGATTAAAGTCTTAACTGACTTTATCTAAAAACGTAAGAGATTTACGTTTTAAAATATAAAACGGTTGGGATTCTCTTAGAATCCCTAACCATCTTAACAGCTTGACGGCTGTTATAAATAGACCTGAGTGGTCACGTCAAGAGTCATTCGACTCTTTCCACTTTTGGCTATTTCCAAGAACGAGAACTCTCGTTTGGTTTCGACGAAATCTCCGACGAACTTCATCTCCTTCGTTCAAAAGAGTTTCTCTTGATCGACTGCATCAATGGCGCCTCGGAGAACAGATTCTGATTCCAAGAAAGTCGCTGGAGCGGCTTCTGAAACGCCGTCGGCTGAGGACGCCGGCGGTGTTCCTGTTCGTGCGGGAACATCGTCGTCGTCATTGCTGTCACAAGGGCTTCACTGTCGTGGTAAGTGTTGGCCCAAATAACTTGCCTTGGCAAGTTTCTTTGAAAACCCCAGATGGGTTCTTGACAACGAGGAAGATGACTCGTTTTTGTTTGATGAAAACACGGGGTTGAGACTTCTTGTGGGTCTCGACTCTCGCGTTTGAGTCTTTCCAACACGAGGTCCGACCCTTGCGTTTGAGATTTCTAACGCGAGGCTCGACCATCGCGTTTGAGATCCTGATACGGAGACTTTAACCTTCTGTGTTTCAGACTTGTCTTTATGTCAATAGCTTGTTTCTAGCTGCTAAACTCTGCTTTTTGATTGTGCAGTGTTTCTTCCAAACGTGCCGCTTTCACAAGAGCATCATTTTGGATATATCGGCGGTCCTGACGCGAATGAAGTCTTCAGTCTTCAGGGCAGAATTCCACTGTGCACTTTCCCTGATTCGGAGAGAACGAAGATAATTAAATTCCCCCGATGTTCTACTCTCAGAATTTTAATCACTGACTTGGACATGGAGACCCCTATTGGTCGTGCTCAGTTTCCCAAACCAGCATTCATATTCGGAGATCGCATAGCAATCGATGACCATCTTATACATGTGGAGGACTCCAAGTTGCTGCGGAGAGTTAATAATCGCTTCTTATTCCTCCCCAACATGAAGAGGATGTACCCACTCTCTTACTTCTTGAATGTGAGCTGTCGTCGGGGTTTGAACTTCGACATAGTTAAAGAGAAAGAGAATGTGTCGCTTGGATTTGGTCGGAGGGCTCGTACACAAATCGGGGGACAACTCAAGGGGTTAAGACCCGGTTTATTTGAGAAGAAAGATCTGATCCAGGAGATGCCGCGTCCAGCGAATGTCTTCATTCGTCAGTTTATTGCGGTTCAGGGTGAATTCTCCACCCAAATGTTCAGGTCCCCAGAATGGGTTTGTTCCGGAGAAGAAGGTTGGTGGACCCGTATGGTCGACTTTGTTCTTGAGGAGCTTAAGGAGTCACTCGCTCACTCAGGTCTCACAATTCCTGTGTTAGCTACTCGACGTGGGGTTGTGCAAAGCTATCACAATTTCTTCACTATATTGGAGAAATATAACCCGGACAACTGCACATTTTTCACACCCGTAGGGGAATTGGGTTTTGCTCTACACGAGATGCAAGCGGTATCGGGGTTGCCCTTGGGTAAAATGCCATACGAAGAATTCATCCCCACCACCGAGGAGCTTTCCCTGTTGAGGGCGGCGTATCCAGAAGTCTATTCTACTTTCTGGGAGTTGATGTTCCACTTTCATATATGTGCTCAGGTCGTCGGAATGCGCGGAGGGGGAATCATGCACACCGCTTGGGCGGAATACCTCTTTCAGAACTTGAACCGGAAAGACATAGCTGTGTCTCGTGTTGCCGCCATTTCTCTTAAGGATGCTAAAACCCGAGTTAAAGCTTCCAGTGCTACTTACAAGACAGAGCTTGTAGAGGATAACTTTGAGGCTGGTGTTGACTTTGAGAGTTTCCACCACCAAGCCACGGTTCCTATTTCTGACACGGCTCTTCTTGCAGGCTTCTTCATGATTTGGTTGAAACGGTGCGTAGTACCGTCAAAACCAGTAGAGGCAATATTAGCTGAGGTTGTATACCCAGCTGTTTTGCTAGCGCATGGGAGACTCATAAGTCTTCTCACTGCTATGGTAAGCTGCATGCAGAGCGGCTTACGGATGTTGACCTCCAAACTTCTCAGAGCCCCGGGCGTTAAGGTTGCCGGGAAGAAGGTTAAGCAGGCTTCTTCACCACGCGTACCAGTGCAGTATACGTATTTGGTGGCCTGGTTTGTATTACATTGCCCTTCATTGATGACGGGAGCATCTGAGGGCGATGATGCTTATGTTCCCTTTGTACAGAGGTTGGAATCGGCCACGTGGACTAATTCTTATATAGTCAGAGCTCGACAGCTTTTGTCTCGGGGAGACAATTATAAAATTTTCTGTTGTGCCCCTAATTTTGACGGAGTTAAAGAGAATGCCAACTTTTCAGACATCCTTTTTGAGGGTTCGTCTTCATTAGAGGAGGGCACTTTCAGATGGCTTCTCATGATCCGTTTAGGCTATCTGGTGTACCGCTTGAGGGAGAAGTGTATCATTGAACCTTACATACCTTCTAGATTCGCCAGACAATTCGGATATGATCAACTTTATGTCGGTAATCCCAATCCGGCATTGGCCCAAATCGGGAATCTGTACGAAGGGGCTCGTGCGTGGTTCTTCTTCTCTGCCGGAGGGACTCATGCACACTTTACCTTACCCAATTCACCGCCTGGCTGTTCTATCGTTGCGGACTTTCGCGACTGGTTTGATGAAGTTTCTCGAATCCCAGAATACGATATTCATACTTCATGCATAAGCGAGATTCGGGACTTGTATAAATCGAGAAGTCGTTCTGCCAAGAGTCGTTTGCCAGGGATAGAGGAGTATCTTTCCTATGAACAAGAGGCGGCCGGAACAGTTGAAGCCTCACAGGAGTTGCCTACCATTGAGCCTTCTGGGAAAGAGGTTCATGCAGAGACTGAAGAAGGGTTGCCGACTGCGAATTCTCCTAAAGGTAAGGTGGCTGAGGGAATTCCTGCTCCTCCTGAAGATAAGGTGGCTGAAGGAATTCCTGCTCCTGAAGATAAGGTGGCTGAGGGAATTCCTATAGAGACCCCTACTCCTGAACTTCGTTCTTTGAGATCGGTGAAGAGGGCCCTTACTGCGGCAGAGGAAGGTGAATATGACAGGAGAACTCGCAAGAGAAAGGCTGTCCCCGCCAAGAACTCCAAGAGGGCTAAATTGATGGGGGACGCGATGAAGTCTGCACCTGGTAGACTTCCCGAGAACAAAGAGGCTGTCGCACCTCAAGCTGCTCCTCCAGATCTTGGAACGACAACAGATGAGCAGGAACCGGCTACCTCAGGTTCAGTGCCGAATACGACCGAAAAGTTATCATCTGAAGCTGCGCACACCTCTACTCGCACTGATTATGAGAATTGCTTTATTTATCCGCCGACTGCTCCACCCCCAAGCTCTGAAACTTTGAGAAAGCTCATCGAACAATTAGAGTACTGGATGCAAATGACCATCGATGTCGTTAGCCTCGGGGACGTGAGTTTCAAAGTCTTTGAACCCCATCTGCTAGGGTGTCTCGCTAAGATTAG